TAGATATTTCTGGGGGACAACAGCTATACAGCTGTAAAGTGTAAATTGTAAGGAACATAACCGGCCACCTTTTGGATCTGCATGTGGCCGGCCGGCCACCACCCCTACCCGGCCGGCTAGGGGTCAAAAAGGTCAAGTTGATTTTCTGGCCGGCCACCACAAAAAGGTGTCCTCCCAGGTCCCCTCATCACAACCCTGTGAGTACGAAATGCACCTTGTTTCCCGTGCCCGGGCTAACTCCTATCCCGGACACGATGCAATATGCATGATATGCATGAATGCAACTAAGATACAGCCTAGCATGCACAATGCTATGAAAATGAGATGTCTCAACATGCGTGCACACGGGCACGCAAATTGAGGAAAATGACTGAATGCGATCTAAGATACAACCTAGTATGCACTATGCTGTAAAAAAGAGATGCCTCGAAATGCGTGCACACAGGCACGCAAACCGAAAAAAATGACATACGCAATGTAAATGACATGGAAATGTGATATGGGCTTACACTAACATGAGAGAGCCTCAGCCACACTCACATAAGAGGCCGATGAATGAAAATGAAGTGCCTCGAAACGCGTGCACACGGGCACGCAAACCGAGGACCGACCATCAAGCACCGAAATGCCACTCTAATGAGACATGGCAAAGGCATGTAAAATGATATGCAAACATGCAATTCTCAGTAGCAAAATGAGGGGTAAAACAGCCCCGAAACGAGGCGAAAGTACACCCAATGCATGGAATTTCTCCCGAAATGCAAGATTAAGTACGTGAAATGGCTTACAGCTATACAAAGCATGCATAATTGATACATGGAATGAAAAGAAAGAAGCAAGGATGCCCCAAAATTAGCATTTTTACAGTTTAAATCATGGCCAAACAGCTAACCGAAACAGGGCAAAACTAGCATGCAAAAATGGCCTTAAATGTGAGGTTATGAAGCAACTCATAGCTGCTGACCTCAAACAGGTTAGGACCCTTCAACAACATTGAAGAGGGGCCCAAAATAAGCCACTTTACAGAACTGTAAAAACCCCAAAAACAAACATAGATATGGCTAAGCTCTTATGCAAGAAAAAGGGCCAAAAGGTGGCCAAAGAGGCAAGTGGTATATACAAAGCCCAAACTGAAAAATTCCCTTCTACAAAATTGAAGAGGGACCAAACATATGCACATTTACAGAACTGTAAAAACCCCAAAAACAAATATAGATATGGCTAAGCCCTTATGCAAGAAATGGGCCAAAAGATGGCCAAAGCACAAAGTATACTAAATATCCATCAAACAGCCAAAGACCCTTAATGAAACATGTTAAGAAGGTCAAGATAAGACTATTTTTAGTTCTGTAAAACGCCCAAAAATGGAAGCATAATGGGCTGCCAAGACATGCAAGAAAAGGGGACCAAGGAGGGATATTGAAGCAAGTGCAATATGGGGGGCTCAAAAAGGGTTGAGCCCTTAATGAAACAAGAAAATGAGCTCAAAAAAATGACCTTTTCAGTTTTGATCGGAGCTCAAATCAGTAAGCACATATGGCTAAGAAATGGTGCAAAAATGAGCTAGAAAAGAGGGAAAGTGGACTTACCCTTGAAGACCAATGCTTTTGTTGCTTCTTGGACCAACTTTGATGACTCTAAGCTGCTGGAATTCCTCCCCTTGCTGCTGGAATGGAGTGATGGTGATGGTGCTTGGTGGTGATGAAGAAATGAAGTAGAACTTAGGAGTTTTTTAAGGAAAATGAGAGAGATGGATGGAGATATGTATGTATATCCTTGAAGCAATTTTTCTAACCCCCAAAACCAATGCTTACAGCTGGTTATAAGGACCAAAAGGAGGGGGAGCATGGAAGGAAAGGGTGGGGGAAAAGGACCAAGGCTTTCCCCCACAAAATATCCCCCGGATACAAATGTTTCTAGGGAATAACAGCTATACAGCTGTAAAGTGCCAAATGTAAGGATCATGGTCGGCCACCTTTTGGAGTTGCAGGTGGCCGGCCGGCCGGCCACCCCCCCTAGTCGGCCGGCTAGGGGTCAAAAGGGTCAAGTTCATTTAGTGGCCGGCCACCACAAAAAGGTGGCCTCCCAGGTCCCCTCATCACAACCCTGTGGTTCGAATTTGGAAATTGTAAAACAGGAGAGAGAATAGGCCATTTTTAGGAGGGGTTCAAAAGGGTCAATCAACATTAGTGGCCGGCCACCAACTTTTAGGGTCCTCCCATGTGTGTACAACACAAATATGTGGTTTGTGGTTGAGGAAAGTGGCCCCAAGGTGTTCAACATTGGCTCGGAAGCGAGAAAAACGGGTGCCGGAGGGGGAAAATGGAATATAACTGGTTGCCAAGATAATTGCTGGCCTCCCACCCTCTAGTGACCTTCCTGGTGATGAAACAGAGGCACCTGCCAAAAATGAACGAAAACCAATGTAAAACGAATGATCGGGGGCCAAAACACGCAGTTCGGGGTCCAAAAAATGGGCTGTTAGGCACCGAAAGTGGCATTCGGCTACGAAGTGGGTTTCTAAGACCCCAGTGTCCCTCAAAAGGGAGTAAAAAGGAAGTATGCCAAAAATCAGAACAAACGGAGATGGTTAGGCGGTCCCGAACCGAGGCACACGGCCAACGGTCCCGAAAAACCGGAAACCGGACTCCGAAATGGGCAAAATGGCCTGCGGCCACAAAATGTAGCCCACGGCCACTGAGAGATGGTCTACGGGACCTCTCCTTCCCCTCGGGAAAAGAAACAGAGAAAACCGAGTTTGGTTCGCAAACCGAGGCAAGGCACAGAAGAGGGTTCGGAAGTCCGGAGGCAGGGCTCACGGCCGCGACTTTGAGACTTCTGCATGAACATATGCAGTATCACCGAGCGCTCAACTGGTGACGTCTAAGTCTTAAGGTCGGTCAAAAATGGGGTGTCTACACAAAGTCATATGAAAAGGAGAGAAGTCAACAAAAGCTATAAACAGAGAACAAAATTTAAAAGGAGAGAGGTGGATTAAAATGAAAAGATGAGGTTATGAACCATAGATATTGGTAAATGCAAAAGAGCAGAAGAACCAACCTTCCATATGCCATCACTTGCTAAGATGACAAACTCTGTATCTTCATCTACAATCTCCAAAGACACATCTGGTTCCGAACTGAGGTGTTTCTTCAAGCTTTTGTCACCAAATGCTCTTGCTACAGCCAACTGCTACAGCTAAATTCAATACACATTCCACTAAAATCAATATATCACCTAATATCAGTCTGATATATGATTGTATGGCTAACACTGATATGGTAATTGAAAACCATGATACATCTAAACACAGCCTAAAAGTATAGTAGGAGAGGAGAGTTCGACATTCGTGGGTCTTAATCCGGACCCATGTTGATAATCCAAGCCGTTCAATGTGTAGAATTCGTTGGGTACATTATCCCTACAAAAAACCATGATGATTGGATAA